CCTATTTATCTACTTGCAATTTCTTGCTTTCGAACTGCTAGGTTGGCAGGAGCTGGAACTAGAGACAGGAGCTCACCCTGTCTTGCGGCACCCGGGTCTTGAACCGCTGAACTACTGACCTTCCACAGCCTGCAGTTCAGTTCTCGAGGTGACAGTTGCGTGGATCACTGTTGCAAGGTCACTGTGTTCAAGGAAAGGAACCAACTGCCTGATCAGCCGAAGATGGTAAAAGGCCGACCTGGCAGTGGCTGTTACCTGGGCCTCCATAGTTAAGGAGGCATCCAGGAGCACTCCCAAACTCCTCATCTCCGGTGCTGGCACCAGTGGTGCCCCATTGAAGGTTGGGAGTGGGATCCCTACCCTCGATCCACCATGGCTCAGGCACAGGACCTCCGTCTTCGTCGGATTAAATTTCAGTCGGCTCAGTCTAAGACAACCAGCCAGGTTATATTCAGGTTCCAAGTAGTACTGAAATTAATAAAGCTTTTTTAAAAAAGTACATATGGCTGGCAGATGGATTTCTGATTACACTGTCCGAATACAGATCTTGGAAACTTCTGTTCAAATCCCTATTCAGCCATGTGACTTAGGGCTACTAACACTAGCCCTGTTTGCAAATTACAGTGAACACACATACAATACATGTACTGTGTAAACTTGATTTTACTTTATACATGGGTTGAGTAATTCTCATGTTACATTTAACTCACATGCAGCTGAACATGTGGTTGAAACCACACATTTATCCAGGTACTGCTCCCGGTTTCATTTGTAAAGTTAATACACATTAGCGCTTTCTTACAAAGAAATGTATGCATATACATGCAGAATGTACATGCCTTCATTATAACATGTGCACAGGGCTTATCTCTCAGCCTTATCTAGCTACAGGGTTCTTGTAAGGATAAAATGGAAGAGTGGAGAGAACCATGTACACTGTTCTCAGCCCTTGGAGGAAGGATGGGTTAGTAAACAGATAGGGAACTAATAAATAACAATGTCAATTTCAACAAACAAATCTAGAAAGTTTCTACGGAATTTATATGAGTAATTCTTCAAAATTAGCTATCACATCAAATAAAACTTAAAGCTTTTAGTGTAATAACTCTAGGAACCTAATGATATTATTTTGCCTTGCTTTTCGCAGGTCTAGGCTACTTAAATTCTCTCTCCTTTATTTCTTTTTGCTAAATCCTTTTGGAAAGGATTTAGAGATGGATTATCAAGTCACACTAATTTTGGAAGCGTGTCAGGCTTAAAATAGAATGTAGGGTTAAAGTAGAATGAAATAAATGTGCAATTATTGAACACACACACACACACACATATATATACACACACACTAACAGTCAAGACGCCCCCTGCATGCAGATATCTAAATCCGCATATTGAGGACACCTAGGGGGCAATCTTCAAGTGTGCAGAAAAATCTGAAAAGTTTTAAAAACTATACAGGGGATATTTAAACCCCTCCAAAAGTAAAAGAGTCCCCTGCGCATGCACACTTACCACTGCGAACTGTGGCAGACCCACGCAGGGCTTGTTGCCACTGTTGCTGGCACCGGCAGTGAGCCTTGGCGGCTAGGAGCCACGGCCTTTGATGTGGTGAAGGGGGAGAAGCCTGGTGGGCCCAGCGGTGGGGAGCCGCGCAGGGCTCGCCACCATTGGTGCTGGGGGGGTGGAGAAGTCTGGTGAGCAGGCAGCTAGGAGCCCACAGGGCTCGCCGCTGTTGCTGCTGTCAGTGGCGGCGGGGGGAGAAGCCTTGGCAGTCCAGCAGCTGGGAGCCGTGGCCGTTGCTGCTGTCGGTGGGGGGGGGAGAAGTCTGGCAGACCACCTGCTGGGCTCACCTGTGGCCACCTCCCCCTCCTCCATGTGGAGCTCCTGCTGTTTCAGTGGCCGGCCACCCAGGAGCTGTGGGGAATACTCCCCCCCACGAGTATTGCAGGTCCCACCTCTTGTTATACAATATTCTTAAAAATATTTTTTGCTCAGTTCCTTGTGCTTGAAGAGACTTGCTTAGAAACATCCAGAGTTCATTGTACGATACTGCTATCAAGAATTTTTTGGACAAATTTCAATAACCAGACTTACCGATTCTTTACTTTGGTGTCATCAAATGCAATGGCAATGTGGCTGTTCCTTGAGAGACCAAACTGCTTGCCATCCTCTAAGGCAATTGGCTCCGTATCAGCAGCACAAAATTCCTGCAAAAAACCACAGTGTCCTAAACCCTTCTTCATGATGCGTTACTTGCTCTCAAAAAGAAAACAGGCAATGTTTTATGTTGAACAATGGGCCTTCTTTCCAGAATCACCTCTGTGCAAGGCAAAGTTCCATTTTCTGCTGTACGGGAGTATTCTGGAATACCGTTCCTCTTTCTCCTTCTAACGCTTCACTTTTTAAATTGAAGCACAAAGGAATAGTAAGTGAGGTTGCATCTGTGTCAGCAGGGTGCATTTTATGTACAAGTAAGTCCAATCTTCTATGGAGGCTTCAGCTTTTTTTTTTAGGCAGCAGCAGTTAAATAATCACCTAAAGGTTAAACAAGTGATGCAAAGCCATCCTTTCCTACCTTATTTACAATTCTTATTTCTCACAACTTTCTCTGCCTCAGGATTAAAATAAAAATACTAATTAGAGCTTTGCTTTTATGAAAAGAGTAGAGGGCTACAACACTAGGCCTACAACTGTCTGCTCCAAAGGGATGCACTGCCATTCACAAAAGTCCTTCTGTGGTTTTCAACTGAGCCAGTAGATTTGGACAGCTTACAGTAGATTTGGACAGCTTACAGTAGCCCCTGTAAGAAGAGCTCTGTAAGCTCGTGGAGGATTGGCTACATTAGGGGTGTGTTGCCTAATATGCAAAGGAGGTCAGTGGCCTCTGCTATCCCAGTACCAGGAACCATAGTGTGAGTCCAGCATTGCAGGAGGAGATGACAGGACAGTTTAGATATAGCACCAGGGGATCCATGAACTGATTTCCCATTTTTAAAAAGGAATAACTAGCAACTGCTGTATATACCCCCCAGGAGGCAATTGTAGGAGCTGACTGAGATTAGGAAAGTGGCCTGGAGGGAAAGGGTTAAACCCTCTACCCAGTTCACGTGACCTTTATTAACTCTTCAAAAATCTTTGAAAGAGCTGTTCATGGATCTCATGACATCATATGAAACTTGATCCTAAGCTGTCCCTTGCAGGGGTGCTACAATCTTCATACTGGATCCTATGTAAAGCATAGTGTTGCTGGAAATTTCTGGAGATTTGAGAATTGAAGCATAGGAAGGGCAGGGTTTGGGGAATAATACTATAAAGTTCACCCTCCAAAGCAGCCATTTTCTCCTTTTATCTATTTTCATCCTGATGCAAATGACTTTCCCCCCTTGTAAAGCATTTCCAAAACATCATAAATGATGCATTAAGAAACAAAAAAATATAGTCTTTAAATGGGGCTTTCCTTTCTTTTGCCCTTCCAGCAACATTTTCCTCACTTGTAAAAGGAGAAAGAAAACTTCACAACTGCCAGGAACTGGTTTCAAATAGTTTGCTGGGACTAAAGTTCTCAATTCACATTCAGATGCAATGAAAAGAGAAAGGAGGAAAGCAGAAAAACACTAGAGACACTTCCAGACATTTTTGAGGGGTGATCAATGAAAATGTGGGTCAAGCCCAATCCACCTGTTCAGAGTGCTGATTGCTAGATGGACAAAATGAGATAAATGTGATCAGTGCTACAATTATGCCCAGAACAGCAACAGACACTCTACCTTCACAACAGGTAAATTCTTAATGACATTTCCTGTTGCACTTCCTAGTTCAGCGCTACCACTGAACCAGGACGTTGAACTAGAAGGGTGTCTGGAAGTGCCCTGTAACAAATGTGCGATGACAGTCTTTTAGCAACCATTACTAGATGCAGGGAAAATTTTTATGTGATCCTGCCTGATTAATACCCACATTAGTTTTAATATAGCCATGTAGTTTTTCTCTCAGTGACAATCCAGAGCTAACTTTTGACTGGAAGGAACAGAAAGATCAAGGCCTATACTCAGTGAGGCTGAAATAATACTAACAATGTCAGTGGAAAATAGTTTAAAGCTTCTGAGTTTACATTTCATCCACAATTTGAAAAAAAAGTTAGACATGTGCATCAGACAAAAGCTTCAAGAAGGAAGGTTTCAATTAACTGCTTTAATTGAAATCTTTCTGGTGTGCTATTTTCTGAATGACAGGAAAATGATGCTTTCAGTTGCTTTCAGCAAATGGGAAGATTGCCATCTGACTGTCTCACACATTTGTCTCCAGACAAAGCTGGCCTGGCACTCGGCAAGTGGGGAAAACACCATTTAGTACCAAAGGAAGAAGATAACATCAGTGAAACAGCACTGCAGTTCATCTGGCTGTGTTAAATAAAACAACTGAAAGAAACCAGGGGAAAACAGTAGAAGATACCGTCAGGGCATCAAAGGCAGCTGAAATACCGGCGCTCTTCACTTCAGCAGCAAGCAAATCCTGAGAAGCAGTAAATAACATGAGGCAAGAGCGGCAGTCACTGATGTCACACATTGAAGCACTTCTAGCAGAAGGTGGCTGCAGAACTTTTAGTAGCTAAAAGGTAAAGGTAAGGGTTCCCTTGCTCGAAAGCCAGTCGAATCCGACCCTAGGGTTGCGGTGCTCATCTCCGTTTCAAAGGCGAAGAGCCAGCGATGTCCGAAGACGTTTCCGTGGTCATGTGGCCGGTATGACTAAACACCAAGGCGCATGGAACGCTGTTACCTTCCCACCAAAGTGGTACCTATTTATCTACTTGCAATTTCTTGCTTTCGAACTGCTAGGTTGGCAGGAGTTTTAGTAGCTAGAGCCCTCTTAACACAATACACCATCTACCAGGATTTAAAAATCCAGGTTTTACCTGATAATGAAGATCTTGCCAGCAAAATGTGAATGAAGGAATGCTTAAGCCTATATTAAGTGCAGCACTAAATGCAGAATGAAGACATAGCAAATGATTGTGAAAGTAGTCACAACCCTCCAGAAGTGAACTTGTTTAGCACCAAGGACATACACTACAAAAGCATCTTTAAAAATGTGGTGAAAATGCTTAAGCTGACAAGCGATACACTAAAACAAGTAAGTTTAAGAAAGAACAAAGACATCCCCAGCTCACTGTAACCTTAAGGCTGCTGAACATTACATGGAATTATATTGGTCTAAAACAGTGGCACTCACTTCTCAGCTCATAGAGAGCATATCTACAATTGCCATCAACCAAAATAGCCATCTGTACTTCCATCCTTGGTATGAGGTCTGAAAATCAGGCAGGCTGGCAGCTTACCCGTTTCTTCAGTGGCAGCTACTTGAAGGTGGAAACCATTTATCAGCCACAAACCCCTCTGGTTTGTCTTGTCCACCTTTCTGAAACATGGGGCAGGTCCCACTAGGGGTGTGCACAAAAAATCAGTATTTTTTGGATTCAGGTATATTGAACCCCCAAAATATTGGTATTTCCCAATATGCCTGAATCCCAATATCAGAATGGCATTGAGATATGGGAAATATTGCTGAATATTTTCAGCTCCATTATACCCTATGGGGACCATTGTAGTCAATGGTCCCTGTAGGCTATAATGGAGATTCAATCTGGGCGTATCTGGAGTTCTGGGGGGCTGTTTTTTGAGATAGAGGCACCAAATTTGCAGTATAGCTACTGGTGCCTCTCCTCAAACCTCCCCCCCCAAGTTTCAAAAAGACTGGCCCAAGGGGTCCAATTCTATGGGCCCTAGAAGAATGGGTCTCCATCTTCCATCGTTTCCAATGGAGGGGGGAAAGGCATTTGAAAGGACGTGGTCCCTTTAAATGCCTTCTCCAAGCCGTGGTACAACTCCACATCATGGCAAGTGTACTCCAAAGGCATTTAAAGGGACCATGGTCTGTTTAAATGCCTGAGAGTTCATTCTGAAGGCATTTAAATGGACTGAGAAGCCTTTAAATGCCCTGTAACTGTAGCTATCTGGTGGTTCTGAAAAATCATCAACATTTGCTGTTGGAGTTGCAAATAAGAAACTAGGAAATGCAAATAAGGAACCTGGAACTAGTTTTTACCATCTGAGAAGTCGGAGAAAATAAATGTTAAAAATTAAAACTCAGATTCTGTCATTAAAAAAAAGAAAGAAGCATGTTATTTGGACCAAAACAGCCTCAAAAGTCATAACAGTGCTAATAGCACATTTGGAAAACAAACTCTTCAATAGATCTTGGTCATCAAGGACATTACAACATATTAATTGTTGTCAAAATTATTCATGTTCAAAAAGCAAAGGTATCCTTGAAAATAATGTACATTGATGTAGCTTGTTTTACATAAAAATCTTTATAGTATACACTGTGATTGAGTAAAGCCTTGTCTAAGAAACACATAAGTAAGACAAAATATTTCATTGGGATTTTTTTCAGTGCTTCCCCAAATTAAAAAAAAAAATTCTACAGAAAAATTAAAAATGGTCTGGGGGAAAACTGCTCCTCCCATTTCCCCTCCCCAGGCCTTCACACCTCTAGGTCATGCCCACGACCACTACGGACGAAGAAATCTCAATCGATAATCGATATTATCTCAGCATAAATGGAAACTGGTGTGTTTCATGCTTCTTGCTCTGCCATCTCAGAAGAAATGGTCCTTCCAAAATCTTAATTTAAAAAGTTTTAGCTCTTAACTTAAAATATATTATTTTTAATGCATCATTTCACAAAAAAGTTAAATAGTTCAAAAGACAAATACAGTACCATCAACTGATCCGACAAAACTGGTTTACTGTAAGTAATAATACTACTTAGTTATCCATATTAAAAGCACTTCACACACTCCTTACACATATGCAGGCCCATATTATTATCCATCTAGGGCAGATGGGAGGACTGAAGGATAGGGTTAAAATATGGCTTGCCCAAATAAAAATGTCCTGCCCCTTTAACAGAACTTTAATGTGTGGAAATGGGCATGTGAAGCTTTTCAAGGCATGTGAAAAGCCACCGAGTCTCTAAAATGGAGACTGAATAAATCTCCCTCATGTAGACCATGGGATATACTGCTAACCTCATCTCCAAAATAGTGTGTGTTTATATATGAACCCACAATGTCTTAAAGAGAGAAATCATACACCTATGATCTATAGTGCTGTTGAATACACTGAAAATTTAAAAAGTACTGCTAACCTCATCTCCAAAATAGTGTGAACCCACAATGTCTTAAAGAGAGAAGTCATACCCCTATGATCTATAGTGCTGTTGCATACACTGAAAATTTTAAAAGGTTTTTTTTTTTTTTGTATTTCCAAGGAAGACATCTGAGATAGGGATTAATTTATTTTCTTTTTTCCATTTATGAATAGACATCATCGTTTGCCATCTTATTACTTGCAAAAACTACTATTTTTTACTTTTTTCTTGGTTATGAGGCACCTAATAAATATACCTCCTATTATCTGCCTGGAAAAGCTGGAACATCTAACAAAGTTACGTGGATTGGAAGTGACTAAAAATAAACATTTAGTACAAAACTTGTTTCATGCTTAAAAGTAAAGGTACAGGTTCCCTTGCTCGAAAGCCAGTCGAATCCGACTCTAGGGTTGCGGTGCTCATCTCCGTTTCAAAGCCGAAGAGCCAGCGCTGTCCGAAGACGTTTCCGTGGTCATGTGGCCGGCATGACTAAACACCAAGGCGCACGGAACGCTGTTCAGCATCTTAACCACTTGAGCCACCGCAGCTCCTGTTTCATGCTTAGGATAGTCCAATTGTACCCTGTCTCACAGCTGTGTAATTTGAACATGGGGAACCAGCTTTAGGTCAGAAATCATTTAGTTCAACCAATTTACATGACTCTATTAAATTACTGAACTATATGCTTTTTTAAAAATATGCAAACTGCAATCATGTATTATCTTCCATATGTCACAATTTCGCCACCTTGTGGGAATTAATAAAAATGCTGCTTTGTACTGCATACAGAAAAATCAATTGTCCACAAACAGAAAGACTGATCTAGGCTAGAAAATAATCATCATATGCTTTGTGATCCTTTCAACAGACCATGTTAAGGTACCAAGTCTGCTTGGGTTAAATAGAGAGTTCCAGAAATACTGATCTGAATGAGACAACCTCTCCACATAGTAATGAAAAGGGAGTTAGAATTATTTATTTATTTAAAATATTTCTGTGCTACCTTTCCACCCAAATGTAGTCCCCAAGGCACTGAACATTGAAACATCTGAACATTAAAACATTTAAAATAAAATATAAAATAATGCAATAAAACATATGAACACATAAACACACAACACTAGGGAAGAAGGCCAATGACAGTAATTAGGAGTATCCAACACCAAACAAGTCTTCACCTGCTGGCAGAAGACTATGATAGAGAGACACAGATAAATATCCTTGTGGAGGGAGTTCCACAGTTTTGGTGCCATGACCAAGAACCCCCCTTTTTTGGTTGTCACCTTGCCTCAGATTGTAGAGGCACCCCAAGCAGGGCCTTTGAAGATGACTGGAGTGGACTGGTAGGAGATTAAGGAGATGGTATTGGACGTGTAGAGGTATTGGTTTGCTTTTGGACATGGAGTGGTACTGGCTTGCTTTTTCTGAATGGCTTATCTTTCTACAGCAATACCTTTAATGAAACCAGCAAACAGATGTCATGCTTTTGTCACAGGCAACAAAGTGGAATGTTTGAAATGCTGACATTTTGACCTCTAATAAACTCTATCTCTTGGAAGAGGAATGAAATTCTGTAATGGGATCCCTTCTGTAAACTTCCTCTGCGCATGGAAGTCTTCGATCCAACTCAGTATGTTTTGAAACACAGCAAATGCTGCATCTATTCATATAAAAAGAATAGTGCCATTGAGATGTCAGATGAAAGCAATGGCTAACACGATGCACGTTTATAAATTACGCATGGGGTGAAAGAAGTGGACAGAAAGAGAGCTTTTCCTCCCTATCCCATAATTAAGGAGCACACAATTAAATTGTTGGGAAATAGGTTCAGAACAGTTAAAAGGTAATGAATGCACTTCTCTACTCAACAAAAAATTAAACTGTGGCGTTCACTGTTAAGGGAAGGAGTGATGACCACAAGCAGAGATTGCTTTAAAGGACAGTAGACAGATTCAGGGAGGAAAGGTCTATTAATGTCTACTAGCTACTGTGCCTGAAGGAAGCCTCCCTATCCAGAGGCAGCAAACCTCTGAATACCAGTGCAGGGATGCCACCTACGCTTTTTTGCCCTTCAGGGCAAGCAGTGGGCTGTTGTGTGAAACAGGATGCTGGACTACTGGTCCAATCTATCAGACTCTCCTTATGTTGTTATGAAGGCTCTATTGTCTACATCAGGGTGGCCAAACTGCATCTCGGGAGCCGCATGTGGCTCTTTCACACAGTCTAATTTAATGTTAATAAAAAATGCATTTCCCAGTCTTGCATGAGAACGATTCAAAAGATATATGCCACAGAAACAAATCACACTTACATGTGAGGGTGGTAAGGGTGGTAGAGGAGGAGGAGTTGCAATTTCTTTCTTCTCCTTAGCATCTGGTTCTGGATGGACCAAGTCTGTTGTGCGGGAAATTTTATCTTCCTCTTTTTCTGGCAGTGGTCCCAGATCAGGACACTGGCCAATATCTGCATTTTCAAATGACACTGGCTGGGCGAAGTCCATTGGCCTAAGGAGATACAGTGAAATCAGTGATGGCAAATGGGATCAGCTTTTCAACGGTGACTTTTTACTTATAAATTACTTAAATTTATAATTATAAGAAATCTTCAAGGGAGATTATGAGTTTGGTTTTTGAATGTTGCCAACATATTTCTGGATTTGCTTTCTTACATTCAACCCACTCTTATAGTCCTCAGAAACTAGTTTTGTTTTCTTTTTTTTTAACTGAATCAAAAGTTAACAGTGGAATTGGGAACATCACAACGCTTATTATATTGACTATAGGATTATACAATTTGTATATATTGTTGACAGCCATACGTCACTAAGATTGGGATGTGGGATGGGAAAAACTGCTTGGCTACTAGGACCAACATTAATAAAACATACTTACACGGCATTGATGACAAGATTCCATATACAGCCTTCAAAAGGAGGAATGTTCCTGATAGGGGCTGTGTGAAACTCAGGTGGTGTCCCTCCCACAAAAAGCTTCTTAACGGAAATAGGTTGGTCTGTTTGGAGTCTCTGAAACTGGCTTCTGTCTTCATCTACTTGTATAGCAAACAGTCTGCAAACCAATTAAAAGTCAATTAATAATATACAAATGGCCTAGCTCAAGCTTTGCCCTGTACACTAAGGGGAGAATTGTGTGTATTAATTTCAGGTACACGCATATTTCCTGTTCCTGAGTGAACTGATTCATATATTAGAGAAAAGATACTAGGGTAAGATTAAAATATTGCTGTTCACTGGGACTAGTTGCCCGAAGAGGTTGTGCAAGAAGACTGGGGTATGGTTGGAAGGCATATGAGGCAGCCACCGTGATGAAGCTGAGTGAGTGTGGGACTGGTCGGTGTCTAGCTGCGAGACATCTTAGGAACTCTATATGTACCACCTTGAGTTCAATGACTGGTTTGTAACTGTAAATAAATAAAGCTTACAGAAGCAACTGACAGAGTCACATAAATATGGGGTATTCTGTATACAGGCAGGGCAGTTGGGCTAGATGATTCTCTGAATCTTCTCAGCTCTGATTTTATAATAATATCAACAATATTATCCTTTATTAGATGCCTGAGACATTTTGGTAACAATTTTTTCGTAAAGTTGGACATTTCTATAGTTGGCTTGACTCCTCCTCAGTAAATATACATTGTGGCTGGCTACACTGCTAATATTTTTCAATGCCCTCTGCTATCGTTCAAGTTACCAGAGAAAACATTTATACATTTTGGCACAGAAGACCAGCACACAATAGTATGCTTTAGCACTCAACACTAGCCTATAATTATCCTAGAATGGGAAGCAATTAGTTCATAATTATATGGGCAATTAGCTTTCTGAAGAGTTTTCAAAAACGTCCTCTGCTTTTAATCAAATAAAGCCTCTGTGATGACTAGCAGATGAAAGGGTTTGTTTAATAAATTATTTCTTTTATTTCTAGTCCAGTTCAGTTTACAAAAAAAGTCTTTTGTGTGTGTGTGTGTGTGTGTATATATATATATGTTTGTACAAGGAGTTATTAAGAAACTTTAAGAGCGAACCATCTATATTTCTGTCCACTAGAGGGTACTGTGAAAGCAATTATATGCTCTTAGCTGTTAATACAAGATAATAGGTTAATATCATCCTGTATATTATATATGGTTATGTTACACTAAAAGGATTTCTTTTGGCATAGTCTATTAGATAGTGCATTATTATCAATACTTGTCAGCTTGTGTTCGGTGATAGGAATATTGCTGACCTTTTTTAAAAAAATATGTTTTTATGAACTGAAACTTGACAAAATAAATAACAGTACCAATGTAGTTGGAAAAGATTTTTGCTTGGGGTCTGTGTATTCATTTAAAACAGTTTTCCATGACCTTTCCACCATTGTTCGAGGGTGGCACCCCAACCCTCATACTCACCCTCTCCACAGGGACTTTCAGGGTGGGTGGGTTGGGTGGGGCTCCAGCAGTGGGCAGTGTGGCTTAGATGCCTCCAGGCTGGGCAGCTCCACTGGGAGCTGCAGGGAGTGAGGCCACATCTAGAGCCATGCCAGCAGCAGCCTCAGTGCCTGGCAGGGGCCTTGGAAGAGAGATGGGGCTCAGCCAGCAGTCTGCTTCAGGAAGGGTTGCCAGCTCTGGGTTGGGAAATAACTAGAGATTTGAAGGGTGGGTTTTGGGGAGGGGAGGAACCTCAGCAGGGTATAAGTCTGTTGAATTCATTATCCAAAGCAGCCATTTTCTCCAGGGGAACTGATCTTGGTAATCTGGAGATCAGCTGTAATAGCAAGAGGTCTCCATGTACTACCTGGAGGTGACAACCCTAACATCAGAGCACAGGCTGCCGGGGGGGGGGTGACATCAACTCTGGCCTTCTAGGGGTTTGCATAGCCTGACCAAGTGACATTTTGTAACCTCAGGGAGGGTGGGGTAGCAGAGGAGAATGCCCAACAGGAGAGCCCACTAGGCCAGAGTCCTCTTACTTGTTAGGGGCTCTGCACCAGAAGGAGGAGGCTTGGGGGAGCCTGTGGCTGTCCCATGCCCAAAAAATCCTTTATTAGGCCAGCCCAGGGACAGTCAGGGAGGAAGGGCCTTGCTAGTTCTTTGCAGCAAGTGGACTGACTCAAGGCCAGAGAGGCCTCAGGGTGAAGCTGAACACCCTTCCTCTCCCTAAACGGAGGCCCATCCTGAGGGCTCACCAAAGAAAGGATGGTGGACTATTGTATACTCTGACATGCTGGAGCTGGAGCTGGAGCATGTCAGCCATATATGGCCATCCCAGCAGCTTACAAAAACAATAATAAAACAGCAATTTTAGAAATTAAAAAAGGAGAATATCTAATGCCCTTTTTTGTTTGTTTGTTTTTGTTCTTTAAGTTATAGTTTGGGACCAGCATCACTATTTACGGGTGTTATGTTGACTTTTAAGACTGAAGCTGGAAGATATGATTAAAGGAAACATTGAGTTTTAGTTGGGTTACAAATAGTGGATACAAATAGTAGATAGAATAGGCTGTGTAGTCCCATCCTTTGTACAAGTTGGCTTAAGAAAAAGAAAATTTAAAGAAGCTGACTCTTAAATAATTTTTTTAAAAAACAATAAAATAAAATAAAGAATATTATAAAAATGGTATTGCGGGTGGATTACAACAAAATATGTAAGGAGGAATCTTTGGACATAATTTTCTCTCCAAGGCAGGTGGGAACTTAGCTGTTTGTTTGCTCCCTCTTTGGGATTAGAATTGATTAGAACTGAAAAAGTGAAAGAGGAGAAAACCAGTTCGCCGCGCCGCGCGCTTCTTCATTGCGCGCAGGTGTGTGTTGTGATCGGCACCTCTCCCTACCCACGGAAGCTCCACAGTACCTCCACAGAACCTCCACAGTAGGTCTGATCGCTTTACTGCATGTTAGTTTGCCCCGGGGCAAACAGCCACACTTCTCCTCTGCAGTTTCCTGCCCGTGTGACAGGGGCCAATGAATAGTAAAGTTAAATTGGATGCTGAGTGAAAATAGTCAGAATCAGATAGATGTTTAATTAGCAAGGTATTTTCAATAAAGTGGTTTATTAAAACATTGGATATTTAATATTTGAAATGTGGCTCTATAGGGAGATATTTAAAATTTAATAAATTTAATAGAATAAATTTTGACAATTTCATAGAGAGGCATGAAATACATGATTTGTAAAACCAATGAGATGATAGCATATTAGAGATATGGAATGAATAATTGATTATTAACTATATCTTAATTCTACACATGGACATCACCAGATGGGCAACACCGAAACCAGATTGATTATATCATTTGCAGTCAAAGATGGAGAAGCTCTATACAGTCAGTCAAAACAAGACCTGGAGCTGACTGTGGCTCAGATCATGAGCTAGTCATCGCAAAATTCAGACTTAAACTGAAGAAAGTTGGGAAAACCATTCAGGTTCGACCTAGATCACTTCCCTTATAAATATACAGTGAAGGTGAAGAATAGGTTTAAACGACTAGATTTGATAGAAAGAGTGCCTGAAGAACTATGGATGGAGGTTCATGACATTGTACAGAAGGCAGCAATCACCACCATCCCAAAGGAAAAAAAAATGCAAGAAAGCAAAGTGGCTGTCTGATGAGGCTTTACAAATAGCAGAGGAAATAAGGAGAGTGAAAGGCAAAGGTGAAAAGGAAAGATTTACCCAACTGAATGCAGATTTCGAGAGAACAGCAAGGAGAGATAAGGAGGCTTTCCTGAATGAACAATGCAATGTAATAGAGAAAAAGAATAGAATGGGAAGGACTAGAGATCTCTTCAAGAAAACTGGAGAAATCAAGGGAATGTTCCGTCCAAAGCTGGCCATGATAAAGGACAAAAATAGTAGGGACCTAACAGACGTAGAAGAGATTAGGAAAAGATGGCAAGAATACACAGAACATCTATACAAGAAGGACCTCAATGTCCCTGACAACCACGATGGTGTAATCACTGACCTCGAGCCAGACATACTGGAATGCGAAGTCAAATGGGCATTACTAACAGCAAGGCTAGCGGACGTAATGGTATCCCAGCTGAGCTATTCAAAGTCTTAAAAGATGATGCTGTTAAAGTGCTGCGCTTTATATGCAGCTTTGAGAATGACAGGAGTACTCTGTCCATGAATGTTAGCTGTATAATGTGTCTTTTGTAGAACTGGAAAAAAAAAAAAAAAAGCATCCATACAACTATTAAGAAAGCTGTCCCCCTTTTTGGAAGACTTCATGCAAGGAGAAGCGGGCTTTTAGTTCTGGAAACTCCCATTGGGGCTTGACTTTTAAAACACTGATGCAAAATGGTCTGGTAGTTATCAATCTGTATGTACTGAATGTTATTGCTTATTGAATGTAATGAATATTTTTAACTGACTAGGATGAAATAATGATACACTATGCACTTTACTAAATAATGATTATAAATGGAATACATTAGTTTGTTATAAGGTTTTTGCAGTGTATATTTATTTGTTGCTAGATTCTCCTAACTGCAGCTTGGGTTGCTTCAGCGCTTTATATGCCAGCAAATTTGGAAAACACAACAGTGGCTACAGGATTGGAAAATATCAGTTGCATTCCAATCCCAAAGAAGGGCAGTGCCAAGGAATGTTCAAACTATCGCACAATTGTACTCATTTCACACACTAGCAAGGTCATGTTAAAGATCCTACAAGCTAGGCTTCAGCAGTACGTGGATAGAGAACTGTCAGAAGTAAAAGCTGGGTTTCAAAGAGGTAGAGGAACTAGAGATCAAATTGCCAACATTCGCTGGATTATGGAGAAAACAAGAGAGTACCAGAAAAACATCTACTACTGCTTCATTGACTATGCTAAAGCCTTTGATTGTGTGGATCACAACAAACTGTGGCAAGTCCATAAAGAGATAGGAGTACCAGACCACCTCACATGTCTCTTGAGAAACCTGTATAAGGGTCAAGAAGTGACAGTTAGAACCGGATATGGAACAACTGATTGGTTTAGCATAGGAAAAGGAGTACGACAAGGATGTATATTGTCACCCTGCTTATTTAATTTATATGCAGAGTACATCATGCTAAATGCCTGGCTGAATCATAAGTGGGAATTAAGATTGCTGGGAAAAACATCAACAGCCTCAGATATGCAGAGGATACCACTCTAATGGCAGAAAGTGAAGAGGACCTAAACAGCCTCTTGCTAAGGATGAAAGAGGAGAGTGCAGAAGCTGGCTTGAAACTCAACATCAAAAAAAGTAAGATCATGGCATCCGGCCCCATCACTCCTTGGCAAATAGAAGGGGAAGTCATGGAAGCAGTGACAGAATTCATGTTCCTGAGATCCAAGATCACTGCAGACAGTGACTGCAGCCATAAAATTAAAAGATGCCTGCTCCTTGAGAGGAAAGCGTTGGAAACCTAGACAGAATAATGAAAAGTAGAGACATCACTGTGCCAACAAAAGTCTGTATGGTCAATGCAATGGTATTCCCAGTAGTAATGTATGGCCGTGAGAGTTGGACCATAAGGAAGACTGAGCGCTGAAGAATAGATTGGTGCTGGTGAATTATGGTACTGGAGAAAACTCTTGAGAGTCCCTTGGACTGCAAGGAGATCAAAATCAGGTAATCCTAAAGGAAATTAACCCTGATTGTTCCCTGGAAGGCCAGATACTGAAGCTGAAGCTCAAATACTTTGGCCACCAAATGAGAAGGAGCACTCACTGGTGAAGACCCTGATGCTGGGAAAGACTGAAGGTAAAAGAAGAAGGGGATGGCAAGGGATGAGATAGTTAGACAGTGTTATCGATGCAACGAACATGAAATTAAGCAAACTCCTGAGCACAACGGAAGACAGGAAAGCCTGGCGTGATGTGGTACATGGGGTCGCAAAGAGTCAGACTCAATGGTGCGACTGAACAACAACAACAACAATTAGAAAGGGAGTAGGAGGTACCATCTGAAGTAACAGGAGCTTAAAAGTTACTAGTTAAATCAGTCTCCTTAGGCTTCTAAGCCAATATGCCTCTGTGTGGTTCTGAAAGAGCTGCAGAGTAGAAGATGACTGACAAGTCTCACCACACTTTCAGATGTTTGCTGGTTTCTATGATCTGTGCCTCAGAGTTGATGACATTCATTCCTGGATTTTTCTTTCTCTTTGATCATACTTAGAGTTTGAGTTGCCCTGCTTAGCTTTATTTGAAACTGGGACCAAAAAAACCAAGGTAGTTGAATCCCCTCCTCTGGCAAGTAGTCTGGCTTTTTTGAGCCCATTTCTGAGGTAAAAATAACTGGAAATGGTCACTTCACCAATGTTCTGGTCCTGCTGGTGGACCTCCTGATGGCACCTGGGTTTTAGCCACTGTGTGCCACGGAGTGTTGAACTGGATAGGCTATTGGCCTGATTCAACATGGCTTCTCTTATGTTCTTATCCTACCCTCTGCTTCACTTTCTCTCTCATCATCCTTCTTGTTCCTCCTCTTTACCCTGTGGTTGCTATGGCTGGCAGTACTGGAAATTGTGGGGGGTCTTTCAAATATGGCCAGGTAGGAAGGGTTCTTCTACTCTTTTTTCCATCCTGACCTCCCTTTCGCTTCTCGAGCATTTCAGCATCCATCATGGGTCCATTAGTTGTCAGAAACCCTGATCACAACATTTGCAAGGGTGCCCTGGGTGTACCTCAGACACTTGCTGAAATACTGGGTGGTGGATGAAGAGGAGGCTGTAAGGGAGAGAGTCTCTAACTGTTGTTGCCTGACTGGTGAGCCAGCCAGCCAGCCAGCCAGCCAGCCAGCCAACCAGTCAAATGACCACAACTACTGCCATAGCCATCACAAGTGGAGAACAAAGGAAGAAAGCAAGGAGAGAGACAGGAATTCATCTCTGGTTCACATTTGAGCTGAGAAAAATTCAGGTCTGTAATACTAAACTAAGTCATAAAGGTAACCTTTATGAGCTGCCAAAACTTGTATTTCTGAAGAAAGGGAATGCAAGCTTTGGTGCCATCCAAAGCATATTCAGGGAGTACAAGGTCTGATTGATTTTTAATGGTAATGTGTGAAGGTATAGAACACTTCTGTGTTTTGCAATCTAATCCTAAAAGAAACAGGCCAGTTTTCTTGGTTATAAGATGGAAGTTCTAGTTTCACTTCAGTGTGGGTGGCATTAACTTTCAATGTTGCCTTTTCCTTCTCTCTCCAAACTGTACCTTAATATTAGTTCAAGATCCAATTCCTCATCCACACAAATTAGATTAATAAAGTGTATTTGCAAAAAGTATCAAAGGTTAAACACAGCAATTTAGATTAATGAAAATCTTAAGTGGCACTGCCTACACTAAAGAATGACCTATGCCATAATGAAATCATCACTGTCAGAACATGACTTTTAAATGAAAACTGCATAGTGATTCCATTAGTCTATTCTCATAATTTCAAGTTGACTAGAAAATTTTTTCAGGGTTAATATACTACAAATCCAACCCCCCCCCCCCCCAATATTCTTATTTATTACCCTCCAAGTCTTTCTATCCGGATGGAATGTTCTCGGCCATCATGAAACTCGCCAGATTCAGGCTTGATGGTTAACCTACGAGGGTCCTTTGTCCCTGTAGAAATGTGCACTTCTAATCGACCTCTGTTTAGAAACACTGCATAATAGATCTGCAATGAGAAACCAGTATTATTAGAGATGCAACCTTTTCAAAAGAACTATTACTCTGAGCTTGTTGTTCTTCCAAGGCCATTCCCTAACAAAGCATATTCTTCCCCTTTATGTATGATAGAAAAATATCGTGTCACAAATTATTCCATTAAAAAAAAAATCTGGAACTTGTTATGAATGCATTTCAAATTTTAGCTACTGACAACAATGGCTTGATATTAACCTGCACATAACGTAGCGGCCAGGACTTCTTCCCCTTTAAAAACAGTCCCCTTCAACAAAGCTTTGATAAGAACAACTTTGAAGAGGTAACCCCCGGCCTCTTGTTTTGTTTCTGTTAGCATGTTCAACCCTTTGTTGAAATAATTTATTTGACAGTGCAGGACTTGAACACTGTTATCTGCTCACTGCACTGCAAGAAAGCACAAGCCAAACAAGGAATCATTCTGTACCTGCCCAGTCTGCCTGCGTTTCCTTCTTGGGGTTACAGGGGCCCCATTTGTACCAAAGAGTATGATGCCAGATTCGTTCCTAGTGCTGAAAGACAAGTTGATTTCTGTTCCCACATCAAACGAAATAGGTGGCAGCTCCACAAAGCCCGGTTTAGGGAAGCTCACTGTGTAGACATTCTGTAGAACAGAAGGAATCGAATCAGCATGGTCTGTAACAGAAACACTGTATTGCAGTACCAAATCACAATACGTAGCACAGCCGCTTACTTTCAATCAGTTGCTATACAAGCATCTGTTTAATTTGCTAATAATTCAGTATTAGAAAACATCTGGAAACCTCAGATTCAGCCAACAATAGCCGTATGGTCAGGACTGTATGCAGCTGGTTTCCAGGCACAATTTCAAGAACTGATTTTAACTTAAGCTGTAAACAGCTTGAGATGAAGTTTTCTGAAGAGATTTACCAATTCACTACAATCACCATCAAAGACCCTGATTTGGGTGTCCCTTCCTTTAGAGGTTAGTAAAGTGGTGACTGGTCCTTTGTAGCTGTGGCATTGCATTTGTGGCATAGTCTGCCCAGACAGATGCACTTCGCACCACTGCTTCTGCCTTTTAGGCAGAACATGAAGCCCATCAAGTTTGACTGAACTACTGGAATATTTGCTATGAGTAGTTTGTATTATATGGTTGAGCCTTGAGAAGTTCTTGAAAAGGTGGCATGTAGATTATTTGAGCTATTAAGTAAATATTTTTCATCACTGCTGTGGTTGCCAGGGATGTGGAATAGTACAGAATAACCCGATCTTGTCAGATTTCAGAAGCTAAGCAGGGTTGGTACTTTGATGGGAGACCACCAAGAAAGTCTTTACAGAGGAAGGCAATGGCAAATCACCTCTGCTTACCTCTGCCTTGAAAACCCTATGGGGTCACCATAAGTCAGCTGCTACTTGATGGCACTTTGCACACACATAGTTGCTAAATTGCAACCCAGAGATTCATATTATAGCAAAAACCTTCCAGCTTAGAGGGATATGAGGCAGCTGTGAATTCTACCCATCCTTTCCTTCATCCTATTATGTGGAAGCTTCCTTCTCCTATCGGCTGAAATAAGCTAGACTCCAGGTATGCTGCACAGCAGGTGGAGGAAGGACAGATGACATGACTAGTGGGGTTAGTCAGAAGTCATGTCTGCAATGAAGAGATACCAAACCCCCCCCCCCCCCCATATTCTTATTTATTACCCTCCAAGTCTTTCTATCCGGATGGAATGTTCTCGGCCATCATGAAACTCGCCAGATTCAGGCTTGATGGTTAACCTACGAGGGTCCTTTGTCCCTGTAGAAATGTGCACTTCTAATCGACCTCTGTTTAGAAACACTGCATAATAGATCTGCAATGAGAAACCAGTATTATTAGAGATGCAACCTTTTCAAAAGAACTATTACTCTGAGCTTGTTGTTCTTCCAAGGCCATTCCCTAACAAAGCATATTCTTCCCCTTTATGTATGATAGAAAAATATCGTGTCACAAATTATTCCATTAAAAAAAAAATCTGGAACTTGTTATGAATGCATTTCAAATTTTAGCTACTGACAACAATGGCTTGATATTAACCTGCACATAACGTAGCGGCCAGGACTTCTTCCCCTTTAAAAACAGTCCCCTTCAACAAAGCTTTGATAAGAACAACTTTGAAGAGGTAACCCCCGGCCTCTTGTTTTGTTTCTGTTAGCATGTTCAACCCTTTGTTGAAATAATTTATTTGACAGTGCAGGACTTGAACACTGTTATCTGCTCACTGCACTGCAAGAAAGCACAAGCCAAACAAGGAATCATTCTGTACCTGCCCAGTCTGCCTGCGTTTCCTTCTTGGGGTTACAGGGGCCCCATTTGTACCAAAGAGTATGATGCCAGATTCGTTCCTAGTGCTGAAAGACAAGTTGATTTCTGTTCCCACATCAAACGAAATAGGTGGCAGCTCCACAAAGCCCGGTTTAGGGAAGCTCACTGTGTAGACATTCTGTAGAACAGAAGGAATTGAATCAGCATGGTCTGTAACAGAAACACTGTATTGCAGTACCAAATCACAATACGTAGCACAGCCGCTTACTTTCAATCAGCTGCTATATAAGCATCTGTTTAATTTGCTAATAATTCAGTATTAGAAAACATCTGGAAACCTCAGATTCAGCCAACAATAGCCGTATGGTCAGGACTGTATGCAGCTGGTTTCCAGGCACAATTTCAAGAACTGATTTTAACTTAAGCTGTAAACAGCTTGAGATGAAGTTTTCTGAAGAGATTTACCAATTCACTACAATCACCATCAAAGACCCTGATTTGGGTGTCCCTTCCTTTAGAGGTTAGTAAAGTGGTGACTGGTCCTTTGTAGCTGTGGCATTGCATTTGTGGCATAGTCTGCCCAGACAGATGCACTTCGCACCACTGCTTCTGCCTTTTAGGCAGAACATGAAGCCCATCAAGTTTGACTGAACTACTGGAATATTTGCTATGAGTAGTTTGTATTATATGGTTGAGCCTTGAGAAGTTCTTGAAAAGGTGGCATGTAGATTATTTGAGCTATTAAGTAAATATTTTTCATCACTGCTGTGGTTGCCAGGGATGTGGAATAGTACAGAATAACCCGATCTTGTCAGATTTCAGAAGCTAAGCAGGGTTGGTACTTTGATGGGAGACCACCAAGAAAGTCTTTACAGAGGAAGGCAATGGCAAATCACCTCTGCTTACCTCTGCCTTGAAAACCCTATGGGGTCACCATAAGTCAGCTGCTACTTGATGGCACTTTGCACACACATAGTTGCTAAATTGCAACCCAGAGATTCATATTATAGCAAAAACCTTCCAGCTTAGAGGGATATGAGGCAGCTGTGAATTCTACCCATCCTTTCCTTCATCCTATTATGTGGAAGCTTCCTTCTCCTATCGGCTGAAATAAGCTAGACTCCAGGTATGCTGCACAGCAGGTGGAGGAAGGACAGATGACATGACTAGTGGGGTTAGTCAGAAGTCATGTCTGCAATGAAGAGAAGAGAAGGAATTATGGGAAGAGAAGAGGAGATTGGATGAATGGGGAGTTTTAGGCTATCATAGATCTCTGGTTTATAACCTGGCAACCACTGTCATGGGAGCTGTCCTACAAGTCACCTCTGTGCCTGAAAAGCATAATGTGATAATACTTACTCATATGACTGCTTTCAAGAGATTATCCTACATGGAGTAATGCTGAGAGCAAGTTGGGAGTACACTGTCTAAATTCTTCCCACACGAAAGTCTTCCCTCACTGTTA